AGAGTAAAATTTACTGTCGGCCAGACAAAATAACTGTAACATCGATTCATCCGGGCAGACAGATTTTCATCATAAGAATAATGCTAAGAGCTTTATGTACGTCACTGCCAAGAGCTGTAGACAGATATTACCAAGAGCTTCATGTAGACAAATATTTATAGCTGAACAGGCAGACTTGCTAAATCGAATGCACAGATTTGTGTAGCATGCATTACTGCTAATAAAAACATCTATAAAATGTTTTTTTTTTCTTCTGGAATGCACAAAAATTCCTGGATTTTTGGATTTTATGCATGGAATTTCTAGATTTTTGAACTTTTCTGACCCTTGTTTCGTTAATCGGATGAGAACAGCAACGAAATTTATGCGTTACCAAGCTCACTTATGTATGCCTGCAACGAATAGCAACGAGACTGAAAAGAATGGAATAAATTATGGAGATGCTGCTGCTACTGCCACTGCTTCCCGAAATGGAAGGATTCAGGCATGCGAGGGCAGGGTATTAGATTATGCTAATTTTTTGATCGATTCCCAACCTCATTCTTTCCCAGCACCGCCACCAAATGCAAATTATCCCGATCCTGCTGCTGCTGCCAAGGAGAACCATTTCACATATGTGTGTGTGTATGTGTGTTTGTGTGTGTGTGTGTGTGTGTCCGTGTTTGTGGATGTTTGTATGTGTGTGTCGGTTTAGTTTCTATTAGTGTATGTGTACATGGGCGTGCTTGTGCATGTGTTGTGAAATGTGAATCTATTGAATATGCAAATAGGCACTGCTCCGCCGAAGCTATGGAGGCCAGCAAGAGGCCGAATGCAGAGTATAACTGATGTATGCCGATCCTGGCTTCCCAGCAGCTACGGTTTCTCCAGCTCTTCAAACCATCATTCACTGAAGAATTCAGGCCAACAGAAAGCACGCTATCCCTTTTCCATATTTTTTTTTTGACCGCAGTGAATTCTGTGGTTAGATGAAATACCACAGCTCAGTCATACTTGGCATTTGGCTGTTAGTTCGCCACTGATTCATCACTGATATAGCAAACAACAAATTTCATTTTCTTTCTTCATTTCATGGCTATTTTGTCCAATGCAGCATTGAAGGCGTTCCTTTCATCTCCTGAAGGGATTAAGGACTGTTTGAAGCGAGGGGGGAGAAGGGAAGATGGATTTAAAGGCTATATGGCATAGTCCTTAAGACCTACACAGTTTCTAAGCACCAACTTCATAAATGGGAAGTCTCGTACTGATGACGGGTTTTCGTAGGACAATTCCCAGTCGCATAGACTCAGTTTTAACTGATTTTGCTCGTAGGTTCATTTTTTTGATTTTGCTTTTATTCGTGTGCCCAGGTTTGCTTTATTTTTTTATGTAGTGTTTTGTTTTCTCTTCCCCTTTAATATCATAGTTCATATTTTTTTAATATAGCCCACAAATCTTTCCTCATAAATCTCATAGCTCATAAATCTTTCCCTTTCACATTTTATACACCCTTCAATACCATATCCCCTTTAATATCATAGCTCATAGTCCCCAGTTCTTGCTTCCAGCTTCTAACTTGTATCCTCGTTCCCTTTCTCTACCTTGTCCCCAAATCCTGCTTGTGAAGCAACATCTGAGCTTCTCTTCATCTCCACGATAAGAGCAATCTGGAAGTAAGCAATGTTTCAGCCTTTGCCCAGTCTCGGGTATCCATGACAAAGAACCAGCAGCACACTCCTGTCATCACTTTCTCCTCCCTTCCCTTCGAACGTACGTGAACTAGCCAACCGACAAAGCATCTACGCCATTTAGCCCTTAAATCCGCCTATCCTAGCCTCCCGCGCCCCTTCTTTGCCTCGAACGGAACCCGCAGCACACCACTCCCTTTCCCACGTGCAACATTCAAACTGCCGCCACTCATTGTCGGGTAGCCCTACCCGGAAAAATTTTTTCGCAAATCGTGTATGGCGCTGGCCGAGCCAAGCCGAGCCGAGTTTTAGTAATAGCTCTTTCAGGCTATCTCAGATTGGCAGTCTGAACCGGGGGGCGGGGATGGGGTTTTTTTGGCTTTTGGCGCTTAAAAAAAACAAGTTGGAGCCGGTGGCCTCCTTTTGTTGCCTCTGCAGTTCGCACCTATATAACTATCGTTTCCCCAATCGCTTCCCTTCTTTTGTCCTTCTACCATTGGTCACTGCTAGTCGTTACAATTACGGATTAATCATTACCTCCATTCTCTTCAATTTCCTTTAAAAAAAACCCCAAATTCCCACCCCTCCCATTCAACAACTCACAAAACACATACAATTTTTGGTCATTCCCTCATCAACGTAATTTGACTTAATTACATTTAGCATGCTTCATTTTATTTCAACGCGGAACTTGGTTTTTGCAGAAGCCTTAAAAATTCTTATTTTTAGGTGTCGCGCATGTCCTGCTTGCTGCAGCACCACTATCTTCGCCTGATCTATGTGAAACACCGTGCACTATGAGGTAAGTCTTTTTTTGTGGGCAAAAGATGCTGTTGAGCATGGTGTAGTGGCAAGTGCGCTATTTCGGTGGTTCGGGAGAACGAGGGTTCGATTCCGCAGCCAGTTCCCCTACGATTTTTTCATTCGTTCCGGTGCATTTTTTCTCTTTTATTTCATTCCTTTTTGTTTAGAACTTACTACCCGTCTCATATGTTAGTTTCCTCCTCTTCCATCTGCTCTATCACTTTTATTACTTTCATGCTATTACACTTTCTCTCCTTCTCTTTCTCTTCCGCTTATCATTCTTGCAAAATAA